GCAGGAGGGAGTTAAGGAAGGGAGGTGTTTTGGGGACGCGGTGGGATGCTGGCTGGCGTTTCCTGCTGTGAGGGGGGACACGGTTGGTCTTTACATTTTAAATGATGTCAGGGCACCGAGGATCCTAGATGGGCATATTGATTTGGATGTTATGAATCAGAGTAAGCATCACTGAGCAGAGCTGTTAAGAAATCTCTCCTCACTCGGGCACATCGGGAACGTTTTCGTCTTCTGCATGTGTTCTTCAGTTCCCCAGCAGCACAAGCAAATTGGAAAGTTCAGCTGTCACTGGGGGAAGGTCATAGATCACACTAGCAGCCTGAGTAATCCAAGAGGTTTTAAGTATCATAGCATTTAGTTTAAAGTGAAATTTGCTCTGACAGGGGCTGGCAGACCAATAGGAAAAAGAAATATTTGTGCTTGGAGAAGTGCATGTGTAGAGACCGCGAGTATAACTGATGGCTGGAAGTGATTTCAGTCTAAAAAAAACAAATCATTAAGAGAATGCATAGGGGTAAAATACACAGTTCATATTTTAAAGGGTCTCAAAATGAACCAGCAACTGAGGTTAGCAGTACATGGTAATTAGCTGTGCTGTTCACTGTTTAACTCCATCAGCTCCGGGCGTGGTGGTAAACTTTGCACAAGCAGACGGTTGTGCTTTGACGGCGTGGTGAGCAGGCACCAATCCCTCCGTGCGCACGCGTGCAATTTTGTGAGACAAAACTGCCGTAACTAACTTGCAGATTAAGGCGACAGCGTAAGTCATCTATCTGAGGAGTTCGCCGTGGCGGGGTGTGATCCGTATCCGTTACACAACTACAGGGACTGCGTGCGCTGCCGCTAGGTACCTCGTTGAACAGGGCTGACTGACAGCAGGAAGAAATACCAATCTGGGTGTGAGTATTGTTGCCCCAATGGCGTAGTTGTGTCCCTAACTTTTTGGGAAGACGGGCGGATGCTTGCTCTGCTGAGCAAGGAGTTTCCCTGTAGATGCTGTATAAATTAGGCCAACACCACGTTTTTTCTTAGGAGCAAGTTTTGAAGTTGATTGCTTGTATAAATCTAAGAACATGTGGCACAAATCATGAGCTCAGGCCAGTCGTTACCCAACAAGTGCTCGCAGCCAAGAAGCTACCATCTTTCCTGGCTCTGCCCTGCTGCTGTTCTTGGCAGAAGTGGCACGGATTTGTCAGGACTTGGTTTTTAACCCCCTGTTTCCACCTTGGTAGGTTATGCTTGCAGAGTCGCTGCCCTTGGCCTGCCACCGGCCTCACGACTAAGCCAGGCTTCAGTCTAGAGACGTGCGTTGGCTGTTTTGTTGCCCTACCCCTCGGGTACCTCCTGGGTTCAGGAGCCTTTCCTGCAGCTACGAGGACAAGCATTTTGCTCGGGGCTGCCAGCGCAAACAATCCGATAGGCAACGCTGGGATGTTTCAAGAGCACTAACATGAAAAAATGAAGCCAACTTTTTTTGGAAGTATGTACAAGCCTTCATTTCCTTAAGAGAAATATTTAGATAGGAGAGGGTGGTGGTTTGATCAAGGTGTTTCAATGTGATTTTCTGTTCCTTTTTAATCTTTTTTTTAACTGTCCAAAGCAGTTATCAGCTGATCCATCTCTTCCAGTTTTCTTCAGGACACTGACATATGTCTGAACCATTTGGAAATAACTGATACTTCTCAGAGTTTAAACTCTAGGGATCTTTACCTAATTACTTACACATTTATAAAAAAAAAAAAGATTGTGATTGAAACCATATTTTCCCTGCTTTCGTTATCAATTTAAATACATTTAAAAGTTCTTTGAGTGGGGATTACTGGACTGCAGCAGAGGGCCGGGCGGTGCCTCCAGCGATGGAGACCCATTGCCACCTCCTGGCTCCGGGTCCTTACTGCACCTCGCTCCAAACCCCGGCGTCACCGTAGGACAGAACGGAGCCACTGCAAGAAGTCCTCGAAACTCCACAGCATCAAGAGAAGCCCCATTCCCACGCAAGAAGAAAGTCCTGCTTTGGGACAGGTCTCTCGGCTGCAGTCTGTGCTGTGTCCCTCGCTGCCAGGCTGGCTCCTGCTGTCTGTCCGGCACGCCAAGGCTCGCTTGCCTCGCTGCCGGCAGCCTCCCGTGTGAAGATTTTGGTAGTTAGCAGAAATGCAAAAAGCCCCACTCCTACCATGCTAGTCATAAAAACCAATGTTGTTACAATCACAGGAAAAAAAAACATTGAAAGATAAGCCCAGAAAAGCTTTTTCTGTTAAGATATCTTTTCATTATAAATCAACCGTAGATGCTTTAAGGATCTTTTGGAGAAACCAATGGAATTCCTGAGTTTAAAGATAGCCTTAAAGGGTCCTGCTTCTCTGCAGTGTTACACGTGTGTGGTATCACTGGGAACTTGTAGCAGTACAACACAACTGGATTCTGAACTTCCACATCCCACTACAGCACCTTTTAGTACGTTACTAACTCCTAATAGTAACAGTCCTGAAAGAACTCTGTTAAAGAACTGGCATGGTTTTACAGTAGTTATTCTTTTGTTTTCTGAACTGCCAAACCAATCGGTCAGCTTCATGATAGGTCTTTGTCTGGAGGAGCTTGGTGGCCTGTGCTCAGAAGGCTGCACCTAGCAGCAGCCTGTCTGAGGTCGGTTGGTCGGTCTGTCTGTCTGCTCCCTTTGCGTACTGCAGATCAGTAACCGGTGGAAGCAGGGACCATCCTTTGACTCAGGTGAGCGCAGGGTTTGGTGTTTCTGGAGACAAGAGTTAGATACAAAGGAACAGGATTCCTCTTCATCCTTTATTTCGGGAGTCTTGTAAAGCTTCAGGCCTGCAAATGAGAAAGCTGCTGTTTGCCAGGTGCAAAGCAGGGACCTGGAGAAGGTGCCTCGGAGGTCACCAGCTCATTTCATAACGGGCTTGGAAAAGAGTAAGAGGACTTTGGAGTGGCTACAGGAAGGGATGGGTGGCCGGAGGAAAGTGTGGAGCCAGAGGCATGCTTTCACATAGCTTTGCACTGCTGTGGGGTACACCACGGCTACTCTGCTTCTCTTTGCCGTGCTGAAGGGGCTGATCAGCCCTTAAGGTCAGACTGATGGCTCCGTCTGCGAGTGACGAGACAGGGGCATCACCCATTCAAGTAGAGACAGGGAGACGTGGAAATATGGGGGACAATCTTTAGTAGCGATAACAGTGACAGGACGAGGCGTAATGGTTTTAAACTAAAACAGGGTAGGTTTAGGCTAGATATAAGGAAGAAATTCTTTACAATGAGGATTGTGAAACACTGGAATGGGTTGCCCAGAGAGGTAGTGGAGGCCCCATCCCTGGAAACATTTAAGACCAGGTTGGACAGGGCTCTGAGCAACCTGATCTAGTTAGCGGTGTCCCTGCTTGCTGCAGGGGGGTTGGACTAGATGACCTCTAGGGGTCTGTTCCGACCCAAAACTTTCTATGATTTTCAGGGCACTGCATTTCTCGAGATACGTTCAAGCGAAACAGAATGATTCTGTCTGCAGTTTGGCTTGTTGACTGTGTCCCCTCCTTCTCGGAGAACAAATCTGGGCCTCAGACCTCCCACCTTCACCTGATGATCAGAATATCCCGTGAGTGAACTAGTTTCCTGAGAAACCAGGCACCAGGGATCCTTTCCTAGGACCTCATGGAGCCACGATCTGAGGAAAGTGTCTTTGCAAGGACAGCATGACAAGCACGGTGCCCCACCGCTCCCCCTGAGCCCCTGCAGTCCAGCTGAGGCAGCAACGCCAGCGTTGTGCTGAGCCAGGGCCCGGGGCCCAGCCATTGTCAGCTTCTGCATGGGTCGCTCGTCCCCGGCCCGGGCTGTTGCATAACCCGCTTTCCCTATGTGTAATCGGCAGTAATGAGACTCAGCTTTTACCCACTCCGAAAGCACTTTGGTTCTTTGTGTTTTGACAGTCTGCAGAGGGGAAGTTCAACTCCTTTCAATGCATCTTCAGTCAGACAATAAATCAGAACCCTTTTCCATTTGTCCTTCTGCTGAAGTGGAAGTTAAGAAGCGACATAACTATGAATAGGCAGTAATCCCATCTTAGATAATGTTCATTTTTCCTCTGCCTCCTACATGAGAGTTATTGTTGAGCATGAAATATGTGCCACTTTTCCCTACGCAGTTCTTGTGCTTTAGTATCTAATTTATTGCTGTGGGACTTTTTGGGTGTAAAAGATTCTGTTATATATGAAAAATGAATTATTCTGTCTCATTAGTACGTAGCCTTTCAGTATATGATGAATTCTTTCTGCCATTTGGCTGTCAATCTTGTATCCCACCAGAAACACTGTCCTTTGCTGAGCTGTGCTGCTGTGCCAGGTATTCTCACTTTCTCGTTTCTAGCTGGTATTTTCCCAGGGGCTTCAGAAATGTGCTGCGGGAAGGAAATTGGATTATTCAGATGGGCTGTGTAGGGCAGGGTCACCAGTGGGCTTTGCAAGAAGCATGCCTGAAGCCTTTCCTGAAAGACATCTTAACTTTAACGTACAGAGGGAGAAACTGAGTCGCACGCGTAAAGTGCTTTGCGAGTGAATTCATAAAAGGATAAAAGAGAAGACTTCTGTCTCTTCTGCGATTTCTGTTTGACCTGAAAGCTCTTCCTCGATAGTTGTCGTGTTCATTTCTCTGCAGTGTTTCTTTTCCTACCAAGGGAAGAGGAGACAGAGCAGTGCTGGCTAGAAGGGGAAGATGGCTCCCAAAGTTGCCTCCCGAAATTGTCTCCGTGGCGGGAGGAGTGGGGGACACCAGCACTAGTACGCCTGCCCTCCCATATCAAAACCTACAGTTTCTTTCTCCCCTTTTTTTGTAGCATCGGAGTTGATGGATTTGGTCAATCCCCGGGGGTCCCTGGCCGCCCAGCGACTGCGTATGGCTAACGCCCGGGCGAGCCTTACCTATTACACCAACGGGAGC